CAAGGTCAAACGTGTTGTTTTTGATGGCTGCACGCACTTATCAGCAATAAAGAGCCACAACTAAGTCCCTCACCCTCTCCTCGCAAACAGCACGCCATAATTCAAACTAGAGCTCAAAAACGTTTTTGTTTTCCTATCTTCATTACAGATATCGCCCTTTACAATCTTTACGGATGAAGAGAGAGTTGTCTGTAGGAAAATTCATATCAGAATTTGGTGCCATCCCGGTAAATCTAAGCAACTGCTTTTTGTTGCCTTGGTCACTGATAAACAAATTTTAACATTATCACTCTAGTACCGTTAACATCACGCACCTACAACTGAAGTACTTATGGTATTCGCGTTGTTGGAAACTCTCGTGTGGGTCTTGACTTCGCACCTAGGACTCGGTTTCACTACACAGATTCTTTAGAAGATAAGAAGTGACGAAGACTTCAGCATTTAAAATATGGACCAATTTTGGGAGAATTCAAGCGCATATGTCTTCCCATAAGCAATGGAGATTTCGAGAATGAGAGTTTGCCTGAATAGACCAAGAGAAATGAACCATCGCCATTACTTTCCACACCAGTTACATGATAAAGCAAACGGACTGACGTCCGGTGTAGAAAATCATCAGAGTATTAAAACAGCGAGAATTAAATTTGCTGCTCATTTCTTAAAGGGCGTCTGCTCATCTTGACAAAAATTAGAAACAGTTCTTCTGTCTTGCAATAACATTCTGCAGTCTCGTTTACTAAAAAAGGTTATCGTACCGCTTTGGCATTTATTTGAGCACAAAAATATGGTATTTGGGTCCTATTACCGACCACAAAACTGACAGCATAAAAAGTTACACGACAATTTAACCCTTTTACTGTTAAGTGTTTTGAATAAATCTATGTTCCAAAGCTGTAGAATTTTTGGCATAAACCTCTTCTTGAAACCCACAGATTTATTTGGCTTGGACGTTTCGAATTCTTAGATTACTGGCGTAGGTGCTTGTGTCCTAGAATTAACATGTTGTGAACCCCAGCATGTGGTCTGAAACCACGCCGGGGCCACGGATTTAACCCTGGGCCGATTACGCTTGCCTGATACCCGCGATGAAGATAAAGGCCGGAGAGGACGAACACAAGCGTCTCCCTCAGAGGTCAACCACGTTGGTGTCGTTGTGTTGTGTTTTCGCGTTTGTATTTATAGCTCGGATGTGTGAGTCATACATGCGCTAACGTCGAGACCTATGTGTGGGGACACTCCAAGATAAATATTCCTGCTAATGAAGGGGGAGTTGAGGATTCGCGCGGCTGGCGACATGCTGCGACAAGGGGAACCCTGTGTAGGAGGTGGAGCGACCGGATTAGAGGGTTGAATAAACTGGATTAACGACAAAAATTTTGGGGGATATAAGTTTGCTAAAAGACTAGGTGCGTATCAAAAATGAAGTCAGTAAAATCTAAAGCAAGTGTACTGGTAAATTTCTGCACAAGCTTGTTTGCCTGGACATTAAATACAAGGTGCAGTCGCGCCTACCGCTTTAATCAAGCAATGAGTCTTTTACATTGAGTACTTCAATTTTGTTGCTTCATTGTACATTTGCAACAAAACCAAGTCCTCAGTGTTTAACTATGTTATCATTCGTAGCCACAGTGATTGCCTTACTGTGCAGATGGTTAAGAAAACTGTAGAAACGTTTATGTTGTGAACGTATCGGAGAGTCTTTCATTCTTTAGTGTGAGTTCATTCGTGGCCCTCAAATTTTCGCAGACATCTATTTTAAGAAATTAAGCTTGAAAAATTCCAAATTAGCTCTAAAATGTTACGTTGTGTCCCAAAATAAATGCAATATTTGAGGAATATTAATAGGTTTCGTGAAAGGGGGTAAAGGAATTAGAATAAAATAATAACAAAAGTGTTGGAAAAAGTAGTAAAAACCGAAATATTAAGACACCGCTGTCATAAGTTACGAGGAAAAAAGCTTGAACACAACTAGGAAAATTTGCTATCCAAAAATGAATTGTCAAATTCTTCTGACTTATATTTAAATGTATCAAAATTTTTAATGCGTCTGACGACACCTTTTAATCAAAAAATATATGCACACATGTCAAAATTAATAATTAATTCAATTATTTCGATTATCCACATTGTTTGCATAATATAAATTACAAATTACATCTATTCGCTTCACCTAACGTCTACATTTGATTTGTTTTGCCTAAAGGTAGAAATGCAGAAACAGCAAAGTCTATTCAAGATCCTTAGGACCACGATAAATTTAGTGAAAGATGGTACAGAATGTGGTTTGCAAATTTTCGAAGTGATGATCCCAGCAAAGCAGCACAACAAAAATACATTCATAAGCTATGCAAACTCACTTCGACCACTGAGAAATAAGCATAAAAGTATGGTGTGATATTCAAAACTGTTGTTAAGGCTTTAAAGGGAATCTTGAAGGAGTTCAGGGATTGGAAAAAAGTGAGCACATAAGGTGTCCACAGACAGTCTCCAATGTTGCAAAGAATCATTGTTTTGCAAAAAATTAAATTGAGGACATCGTTGTTTCTGGTGATGGAAAATTGATCTAAACCTGTAATATAGAATCGAAGGGGTCTTAGGTCAGGAGAGGACGATGGCGAACTCAACAATAGGCAGTACACTGTGTCTGATGCGATCATCTTATGAATTTAGTAGAAAATCGAGGTAAAAAACGTCGATTAACCGTTAAAATGAATTTAAGAGATCACATTCTATCCATACTTTTTCATTTCTTTCAGACCTAATCAGTTTTGTGCAAGAACTGAATATCGTTATTTAACAGATCGTGCGCCATCCTCCACTGCTATAATATCAATTGTAAATTGAATAACATGTATTTTCAAACTATGTAGCTTTTCATTGTCTCTTGTCTAGAGACCATAAAAACCTTCGAAATGTCTTGGGCTGGTAACAAAAGTTCAAATAAGCAACACTAATAACCTAATCCTATTACTCAATACCTAACAAGAGTGGTGTGCTTACATTTCTCGATAGGTAATGTCAAAAAAAACCAGCGAAGGCTGTCTTAACAAAATATTTTCTCGAATAAACAATCCTTTATATAAAAATATTGTTAAAACACCATGCCGTTGGAAAAAAAAACATAATAATCAAAAATAAAAAATGACCATTCAGTGACATTTAGTCGTGCAATTTCCGTGAAGAATGTCATTTTTTTCACTTAATATTGCCGCTAGACAGAATTAGGCAATAAATTCTATTAATAAGTATAAAAAAGGCATTAAATAGAAATCATTTCAGTAAATATAAACCTATTATGCAAAAATTTTTTCAACCATAGCCTTAGAAATGTTAGGGACAGCAATCCATCAGCAATACAGGGTTCGTTGTCATTGTTTATTAGAAATATCTCCCACCAAGGTAAACTAATTATCCGCTTCATTCTTATCCAGAAAATACGATAAGCTTATAAATTGCTACCGAAGCGCTAAAAATCACGTGGCATAGCACATTTCATAGTGAATTTTGAAAGATTGTTTGGCAAATGATTAAGATTAATGTTATTTAGAGTGCATTATTTAGACTTTTTTAGATGTGACTTCGTAAGCATGTGTTTTAAAAGGCGCTTAACCATCGAAATGTTCTTTTATGGTTTTTGCGAAATAATGTTCGCTTGCACCTTTTGCCACATCCATTCCCTTTCAGTTGAAAAACCGTAATCGGCTAATTACTAATAAATGAAAAAAAAATATTTTAGCTATCTAGGAAAATTAATGCCTGCACCTTCCTTTTTTACATTAAAAAAGTTTATGCGATATTTGTCAAATTTGTCAAATTTAAATAAAACATGAGTTCAATTGTTTAAATCTGCCACTAGTGTAGCGCCTTTCGCTCTTGCACGCTCTCGTCCCTCATGTACGTTAATTGTAGAGTTGTTCCTTGGCTTTCTGATTTTCAATTTCGCTATGTTTTGTCCAAAATTAAATCTTCTGACATTAATGACACACGTGAGGCAGCGCTTTGGTTGCAAATTTGGCTATGTCGCGTTAATGTGTCTAAAATACCCCGGGCTATAGTTTGTACCTACGAGTTACTTCTGGCGCGCGTGCAGCAGTCTACACAGGCTATGGCACTAGCTGTCATGCGTTTCATAAGCCTTGTGTCCAGTGAAGATCAGGACCGGAATCGTGGTGGATTTGCAGTTCCCATTTATTCACTGTCCCGTAGTGCTGGTCTACCTGACTGGATGGGAGATCTTCGAAATGATATTGCGCATGGTTCAGTACCGTCAAGACAGTTTCTGGAAGTTGCGTACGCTTGGGCCATGCGCTGGTTAGTGGAATTTTGGGAGCGGAACACCGATGAAACGTTACCAAAACACGACTTTGGCAATCCTTCCAGTGTTAAGTGGAATTCTGACGCAGTCTCAATCGTGGACGATTCCCTGAAGGATTCCATTCGACATTATTCAGTTACACATGCATTCGCAGAGCACCTAGTGGATCAAGCCTCAAAGTGTTTCCACAAATCGGTCCCTAATTACCTAAAATCTATATTTCGGTCATTTCAAAAATTTCGTAAGCTAAATAATCTTGTGCTGGCAGTGTTTTTTAACCTGCCGAAAGAAGGTGCTATTTTCTGGGCTAATGCGTGGATAGGTGCATATAAAGCAGTCTCGTTGAAGGAAGAACACTTTTTGAAAGAGTTTGTTGACGAGAATGATTTGGCCTCTTTTCCCTGGCGCCATTGTCTCGAGCAGGTTTGCTTGAAATGTAATCCCTCGTCTTCCCTTCTGGTGTCCCTTCTTGAGTTATTTCAGCCACACATGCCTGACAAGTTGCTGTCCACCGTCATTGGCATTTGTCATTCTGATTGTTCGTTGCCCCACAATACATCGGACATAACTAGATCCGACTTAAAGTGGCAACTCGACAGAACGGTCAGGTGGTGGCGTATCCCACTGGGAGCTTCTCTGACAAAAAGTATAGTTTTTAAACGTATTCTGTATTTCCTTGTAGAAAATGCCTCGACAAGTTGCCAGGATCAAGGATTTCCTCATGAAGACCCACCGGTCGGATGCCAAATGTAGGACTGTCCGGTTTATTTGATGTTTTTTAGCGGTCAAGATAAAGACCAACAAAGACAATGTGAAATTCAAGATACGTTGCAGCCGGTTCCTCTACACGCTGGTGGTTACAGAAAAGGAAAAGGTTGATAAAATTAGGAAAGCCCTCCCTCCAAGTAGGTCTTATTATTTCCTCATTCGTTTTTTCTAGATCTTACAATTAAAGAGATTGGCAAATGAGTGCTGTACAGTAATAAAGTGTGCTCCGGTATCCCTTTTTTTAATTGTTTGGGTACTGGTGTTGCAAATTGTGCCTTGTTTTTATGCCTACTAAATGGTCCAAAACATCCGCAAAATGATTTGTTGGAAAACTAAGTTTGATGGCCTTTTAAATTTATCAAAATCGCTTGGTTGGCTTGTGTTTCCTCCCCTCGAAATGTAGTTTTTAAGCCTTCATCCCTTCACTCGGGCTTCTGTGAAGATACTTCTTTGGTGCTTATGCTAAATACATGGGTAGTCATTTTGGAGATTCCTTGGGTCAGGAGTTTGTTAGCATTAGTCAAGCTTGACTTCGTAGTAATTCGGTGAATTTAAAACGGCAACGAAGTGGTCTGCGTGGGGGAATTGACCCATACGCTTGGTGGGTGGGTGTTTGCTGAAGTCTTCGGCACCGTCGACGTTGACCGATCCAACCTACATGTCGCAATGAGTAATTTACTCCAAAATCATTTATGGGTCAATCCCACGGCACAGATGCAGACAACACGTCCCCGAGATTATCCCTTTGAAACCATTCATGTACCAGCTTGCACCAATCCATGCTTTTAAACCTTCACCGAGCCCCTCAGTTTTTTTCACAATGAATTTGTAGTGGACTGACAGCCGCCCCGCGCGA